CCCTCAAGTTTTCTCACCAAAATTGTGTGTTAATGTTTTACTTGCCATATTCCTCGCCCATTTTATCCTACTAATTTGACCTTCTAATAACATTTGAAAACAACCAAAGTCTGCTGTAATATATGCTCTTAAACGTGTAATACGAGTGACAGAAACCAGTGAGCGACACTGACAGAAACTTAATTTTTCTCCACAGTTAAATTACGGTTACGTTTAAAAATGCGTACATTTCAAAACCATTGAGTTTTATGTGCATCGTGTTCCATTAAATCTCTATTTTAGAGAGCAATGTAAATTTACATTCATGTAATCCACAGTTTAACGTTTCTGTAAACAGCAAATCCCATTCCACATGCCCTCTGCCCGACTCTTCCATTACACGTGAGTACCTCTGACATGTGCCCGCTGCCCAGCAGAACCAGTGTTTGGTCACTCTCCTGTACCGGAGATGAATTTCAACACGTCACTGGACCCCGTAAATGGAAACAGGAAATGAATTCCTGCGAATAACAAGAAGCGATGCTGATCGATTCTAGAAAATATCAATCGGTGCGTCAGAAAGAAGCTGCAGATTTTCGTGTACAACTAAACAAAGAGCGCCATAGCAGAAATGGGGGAGGCGAGAAGTTTGAAGGGAAGACCACTTTGTGAGACCTAGTTATAGATGGAAGGACGACTCTGAAATGGAAGTCAAAGATATGGGTGGCATTCAGATGAGTCAAGACAATGGTGGCCGGCTCTTATGAGTGTGATAATGAACTATCGGGTTCCATAAGGGGCGGAATTGTCCAGCCAGCTTCTCAAAAATAAATCTGCTATATGCAGTTGGTTAGATGATCAGTAACAAAAGATGATTGAGATTAAAGGATGTCCTCGGTGCTCAGATAGAACCACGTGACAAAGTACACACTTCTTCCTAAATACCTCTGTGTCAGAGAACCACAACATGAAGGCAAAGGTTCACGAATTTTTAACCTATGCATAACATGGAGATGGATACTCATGTTCACGCTTCAGCAGCATTACCACCGGGGAAGGACTTCCTAGTGCAATGTCTGTGACAAGAAGTTGTCTTGGCTTAGAAGGGAAGATCACTTGCCCCTCCCTTCTGCTCGGAAAAATGGAAACTGTTGCAATTTTGTACATGTTTCTATGCGCACCTGGCCGGGTCAGTGGTGACGCACATGCGCACTGCGGATGTGGCAGTCGCCCTGAGAAGAGTGCGTGGCGTGAAGACCACTGTGATTTAAGCCAATTCTGGCAACAACAAATAAGGAAATACAGCGTAACAATTACGGCGCGTTCAATCGCCGTTGATTGTCTCGAAAACCGTGTATTTGGCATGAAACGTATACATAATTTTTCTCTAGCTGTTGTTCCAAACAAAGTGCGTCCTCATGTATATACGTACTTGGCACGAGTTAAACTCGAGACGCACGGCGAAATGCGCATGCGTGTAGGTATCCATGTAAAGCCGTTGTTATTGTTGTCCAATTTCAACCAAAATTAGGACGGATCAGCACATTTTAGTTAAACTCCCTGATATCAGATTTCATGAAATTCAGTTTGGTTGTTCTCGACTGTTTTCTTGTAAACACAAACAGAAGGATGGACAGATTTAAGCACGCATAGCGATGCGAGAGCATCTGAAACCCTGTTTCAGTGCGTGATATAAAAACTGGGTCTCTTCCTTTCAAGAGGGCGTGTACGTTCGTCATCTAAGAATGCCTCATGACGAATTATTCCATATTAAAATCCCAACTTCACACAAGCCACTAGCTTCTGAGAGCCTGTGTCGTTATGCAGCCAGCAGTACAAAGTGTCCAGGACACCCATAACCATATATGTGAAGTTCTGTGGAACTTACTAACAGAACTAGGATTCGAAGCTTCGTAATATGTAACCGTTCTTAAGGGGCCCATACACGTACGAGCCTGCCTCGCGAGTCCGACTCGGCTCGGGTTCCAATGAGCCAAACTCCTCCGTGTGCGGGTCGCAAAGTTGGGAGTCAGCTCATGCGTTTGTGGCGAAATTAATCCGAGCCCGGCTCCCGAGTCAAGCTCGCCGAGCCGGACTCGCGAGTCAGACTGGTACGTGTATGGGCCCCTTTATGATTATGTGTCAGATTGAAGTGAAGGGATATTCTCCAGACACCTACCTAACACTACAGAAATTATTTTCAAAACATGAGGATATTCGTATAGGCCTATTTGCAGATGCCTATATAATAATAATAATAATTATTATTATTATTTCTTATTTATATAACCGTGATAGGAAAAGATAAAGTAAGACAAATCTTGATTTGAAAATATGTACGATGTACCTTGACCATGTGAATGCAGAATCGTACGCGTATAAAAGTAGCCTATGTTTTGGTACCCTTTTTCCTGATGCCGTGAACTCTTGAGAATCCATTTTAACATCTTTGGCTTTACATCCATCTTCACTAATGACATTTGTGCTTCTGTTTATAATTTCAGCTACTTCTTTTTGTCAGTGTGTTAAATATCTGGGAAATTTTGTAGACTGTAAGCTCTGTTTTCATAGTTATTTTTTATTGCTAGTGGGGTGGGACTAAGTCCCTTGTACTGCGGCCACTTCTGGCCTATTGTACCAGCCCCAGATGATAGGTGAGGGTGATTGTGGAGCAACTGGTGGAATGAAGATTGGCAGGGAAAACCGAAGTACTCGGAGAAAACCTGCCCCAGCGCCACTTTGTCCACCACAAATCCCACTTGAACCCGGGCCGCCGCGGTTGGAGTTTTCATAGCTAAATCAAAGTATAAACATGTTAGGTTCGAGTCGTAACGTTACAGTCTTATGATTTTATGTTCTCCGGGTGCTGTGTGGACTAGAGTGAGCTTCTGCCGCCTGGGACTGAACTCGGAAGAACTGAAAGAAATTTTCACGATTATGCTGTAGCAGACTTCTTATTGGCGAATGTAATAATACGTATAATGACACATTAGTGGGGTTGAATCTTTAAATACTCTAATCCATGTGGCAGTATTTCTATTTCTTATCGTTGTCTTTAAAAACGAAATTCGTTGCTCTTCCTTTCGTGATGTGCAGCTGCTGGGTTAATCAGCCAGTTTTCCGTTTCTTGTATGCATCACCGCACTAATGTCATTTCCTCGGCGAAATATATTTCTGCGGCAAATTCTATCTACATGCACAATATAATTGACATTTTTAAGGGAAAGTTCATTCCATTAATCGACATCATTAAATTTGCTATATATCTTTATAACTGTTGTCAATCGCGCCAGTATTTTAATTGACTCGAACTATTACTATTATCGAAATCATATCATTTTCAAAATTGGTAACTGAGCCTCTATATCTGAAAGTGAAACTATACCTGGAAATTACGCTGCTAATTGATCGTTCTGATTTTAATTGATAATAATATAATTTTAATTATTGCGATTGCTTCTGCTACTACTGTGCTACCACCACTAGTACTACTACTACTACTACTACAAGTAAAGTTGCCTATGTGTCTACACACTACACCATGAAGAGATACAAACGGGAAACCGGCCTACAGGTAAAGCCCCACTGTCGCTCCGGGCTCTTTACGCCCTATGCCCACTGGGTCCAAAAGTAGGCCTTGATGTGGCCGCAAAGACAATTATCCCGCCTTGTTTGGAATCACACGCTGGTCTGCAGCCACTTCCCGACTGTTGTTAAGACGAATGCTTTTATTCTTCAGCTGGTACGCGACGCCAGCAAACGACTGTTACGCAGCGGCAAGTGTCAACTATCAGGCGGCCTTCATCTGAGGCTAAACCAGGCCACGACAGTTTCCTTCCATATCCTTCTCAGTTCATCCTCCATTTATCATCCTACCGTTCGACATCACACGCAAAACGCCTTATAGAGACCAGAAATCAATACATTCTTTTCGAATCTGTTTTCATCGTTGTGTTTGTATCTCATCCGTTCCAGGCTCAGCTAGTCTGTGGCAGTTTAATATGAAGTACTCTTTATGTAATGCCCAATCACTTGATGCCGGTCAGCTCCTTAAGTAAATACATTTCTGTTGCTTAGGAACAGTGGTATCTTCAACGAGGTCTGTATTTTACTCTCTGGCATTCTTCACTCGTTTCGTGACTAATTATTTAATGTTTAACTTTTGTCCGGACTACCTTGAACTTTAGTTTATACATTTTGACACTGTTCTCATGTTTTCTGTACTCCTTATTTGTCAGTATTTGTGCGGATTTTTCAGTAACTTTGCCTACTTTTCTTATTGAAAATGAAAGCGAGAGTATGAGATCATCGACTTTTGAACCAAGTGACTTATTTTCGCAGAACGTGGTACGAACGTTATGCTACCCCACCGCTGCACATCTGATTTCGTACAACCAGTGATAACACGAACGACACTTAATACAGGATCCACATATGATGTAAGGTAATAGATCTTCGAGAACTTTTATTGTTCTTTTCAGATCTAAAATAATAACATGGTGGCCGTGCGAAATTGTTTCTAACTTTCGGTTTGTTACCAGTAACTAATGAAGAAACGCATGTAAAATCCAGTACGGGGATAAATCGCAAATATACCTACACTGTATGTATGGCATTTTGGTTGTAAGTAAATAGTTACAAACATGGCGATGGTGCGAAGATAGGTTATGTGTGGCAAATTTCCCATAGACAGAGTCTGTATGTACATATCGGTAATTAGTACTAAACTCAAAGAGAATAAACAAAACTAAAATAAAGTAAGAATAATAAGAGTAATAGACATGTATGACTAGAAATTTACACAATAAGGAAGTAGGTATGTAATTTCTGCTCGGAATTCTTTCTTTAATATCTTGCATCCTTTCCAGTTCTTTCCTGTAACTGGTTTTCTTGCTGTTGTCACGTACTGCAATAAATGAATTTGGTGTATTGAAGAAATAATCAAGACAAAATACTGTACATGCCTGCTAGTGGTCTCCATTGTGTGAACACATATTAGCTGCCACTCTTTCTGCTTCCAGGTGGTTGGCACATCTGCAAACTTGACGCTGGACGTGGATGCCAACACTGCAGGGCGGTACTATTGCAAAGCTAGCGTAATGGGCTTCCCCGAGGTGGGGGCTGAAGCAGCCATTTACCTTAAGGGACCGCCATCCATCGTCAGCCACAGGACGCAGTTCGGCATTCAGGGCGACAACGTGCGCCTTGAATGTGTGGCTTTCTCCATCCCGAAACCAGAGCACGTCATGTGGACCTACAAGGGCAATGAGGTGGATGCCGATGACAAGGATTATACAATCCTAGAGGACCCCTTGCCCGAAGGAATCAAGAGCACACTTGTGATTCGAGAGTCACAGCAACAGCATTTTGGAGCTTACAACTGCTCTGTCACAAACCCATATGGAAGCGATGTGGTAGAGATCAACCTCAAACCTCAGAGTAAGCGTTATTATAGCAGCCCCCAGAAATGGCTAAGTTGCGCTTAATTCGAAGGCAGTGTTCTTTTGAACTGCGTACGACATCAGGAACTGGAAAAGTGATATCAAGGCAACTTTAAAAAAATTTACCCCTCTTCTAATTTTCTCCGACACATGCATCAATCAGAAATGAAAATGGAATGGTGCACGGCAATTCATTTTGCTCCAAATTCGCAGTGGATGAGGATACACTGCATTCATAATTACAGTCTAAACAAAGGTTTAAGTTGTATTCTAATTCAGATTGCGTGTATTTTACAAATGCATTCTTCCTGTTGTTCTCGAACTATTTATTGCAGACACAAACCAACTGTAGCTCAAAGCTGATACTATACTGTCAGAGTCACACATTATTTTGCTTCTGTTTCATTAATACTCCGCACAGTCCGACATTTTGTTAAATAATAAGTTCGTGGCAGAATATATTTGAGGGACGCAAGAATGATAGAAATATTATTTGAAGAAAGCCATCTTCTGGGATGTGGCACCGTGTAGATGTGGCGTTAACCGACGTTTAGGAGGAACGTACTGCCTCCAAGCATACTGCTTGTCTGCTTGTACCGGTTCTCACGGTCTCTTTGCTTGCGGATTTTCTTATTTTCCCTTCTACCCTGAAGATTGAGGCGATAGATTCCCCCGAAACGTCGGTTAACACCACATATACACGGTGCCACATCCCAGAAGACTGCTTTCTTCATAGTCACCGCCGTGAAAACCTCAAATCTTACGAAATATTATTTGTTAAGAATACAATTATGTGATACTCATTTCAGCTTTCATTGAAAATACTGCTGAAAATTATATGCTCTTTTCAGGAGAGTGTTTTTGGCCATTTCACATTTGAAAGAGTTTGTGTTCAAGATGAACATTCAGTTGTATCAAATACAAACGTTTGGATCCTCCATTTGATGTCAAATTGAAGAAGAAACAGCTGTATGACAGTTGGTCGAAGTTTAGATATTTATTGACAGCACATATAGCACACATCAATCCATGGGCAGCCATCATATATATAAGGCAGGGACAATGCTAGACTTGTGTCAATATACGGATCCAAAGGTGTGAGCCTGTAAACCTGAATCCAAAAATGAAAACCAGTGGAACTCCCTCCCAGAAAAAATATGCTTTGCTTTGATATTTTCAATTGATTAAATTCCATTGGAAAGATTATACTCTGAAATTTTTTAGTTAATAATCAAAGAAAGGGCTTGATGTTTCGTAGCAAGTGACTGACCTCTTTCTTTACAGAAACTTTTCCTCTACTCATGATCCTAACAGGTGTTATTGGAGGGGTAATAGTCATCATAGCTATTGCCATGGTGATAATTCTTTGCCAGAGGAGAGAAAAGAAACCAGAAGGTAAAGAACTTGCATTATCTGCATATCTGTTTATTTAATATTTACAATAAGTCATATGAAGCATGGGCTGGATTTTTCTGGCTGAGGTAAGTGACCAGAACCAATAACCTGCATTAACCCAGCGCTGGTGAAATGGCAATACGTAACAAAAGTGGTAAGGTGGGGTCCAACAGACCACAGACATTCCATTGACTGCATCAAATCCACCTTTGGTTTTGTTGTAAAACAGAATGTTTTCCAGCTTAGATGTCCTCTCATCTACATTATCATCATACTGTAATGTGAAAATCATGACAACATTTTTGTTTTGTTTTTGGCACAAATGAAGCTATGGTGATATTGGGTTGAAAACCAGAAATGGTAGTCACTGGGCTTCTTCGCTTGGTATTGATGAACTCAGGTGACAGTTCTCTTTTATTTTTCTTCATTGTTTCCACCATAGTTAGCTTATGATCTACTAATAAGGATTTGGCCAATGGGTAACTTATGAACCAATTATCTAAACTCACATTGTGACCTGTTCCATATATAGGTGCAATCATCCTTGTATCAACTTCAGAAGGTGTGTTTGAAACTTTGTATGGGCCTTCAGATTGTGTGCAAATGCAAACTTCCAAATTAGAAGTATACAAGTACTTGGCATCAACCAAAGCAAATACTTTCAGGCCATACTTTGCCGTTTTGCTTCGAATGTACTGCCGGAAACTGCATCATCCACGAAACGCTTCTAACTTTTCATGAATCGTTACGTTTTCTCCTAAAGAATATACAGACTCACATACATCATTGAACTTATCAAAAATGTCTCTAATTGGAGCCAATTTGTCCTAAGATCTTCCTTCAGTTCTAGTACTTCAGTCGTCAAATCGCACACATCTAAGAAGAAAACGGAAACAAACAAGTGACATTGTGCTTCTAAATAGTCAACATCAGTACCATCCGTGGCCCATAGATAATCCGGATTCTGGTGACTAGACTTATAAAAACCACATAAATATAAAAGTTCAAACACAGACTTTATTTCACTCATATCAGTCTTTTGAACACTTATTTTCGGCATAATTTACTTGTTTTCTTTCTATTTCAACTTATTGGGTAAAAAAAAATATTATTCTCAAAACACACTCTAAATATTTATGAAAATGTATTTGCTTACAGTTGGTATGTAAAAATATAGAAGACACAGCAGTAACGATAATATTTTAATGGAATATACATGAAAACAACTTAACTTTCGGAAGCAAATATAGTCACACTTTTTGTAAGGTGGGGTCTGGTGGACCCCGGCACAATTTACATGTCTGTACACTAAACTTGCTTGCACGCAAAAGCCTGACGTCTATGGCATCTAGTAGCGGGTTATGGGAGGGGAAGCTACAGTGAGGCACGACTCACTGCCACATGATCTTAAAAAGTTACAGTCAAATTAAAATCTTTGGGGGTCTGTGACACCCCACCTTACTAACGCGGGGTTAAAGCAAATGGTACTAGAAGATGAGGTGGGCTTACATTATTGGGCAATTGAGAACATGGTAATAAATCTCTGAGTTCCATAATCAGAAATACAGGGGTTCAACAGAATGATGGAAACACTACAGATGCTGTACACAATTCTTTATTAATATGGCATTGGGCCATCTTCTGCCTTCAATACAAACATAAATCTTTCTTGGAATGGACTCGTACAAGTTTTGAACAGTCTCTAGCGGAATTTTGTACCATTCTTCTTCAAGGAGCATCTTCAAGTTGCTTTAGAGATGCCAGAGGTGGGAGTCTGTTCCTCACGCTAGTCTCAAAGCTGATCAGATTGGTTTAGTGACGTTCAAACTGGTAACTGGGCTGGCCAGGGAAGGTGCTGAAGTTCACCTTCATGCTCTTCAAACCCTCACCGAACAGTTCCAGCTGTGTGAATGGGGGCTCTGTCATCTTGGAAAAGAAAACTGCATCATTGCTCAGAAACAATGTCTGGACCATGGGATGCTCTTTGTTACCCAACTTGTCCATGTACTTCCTTGCAGTAATTTGGCCAAGAAGGGTAATAATGGTACCAACAGAATGCTATACCATGATGTTGTTTCCCAAAGCATGACAGAACCCCCCCCCGGAGGAACCAGGCAGTCCAGACCGTAGGCTTCCTTGGGTATTCTCCAAACATAAACTCCTCATGATGTAGGGAACTCTTTTGCATGGAATGTCACTCTCAACACAATCACTAATGCATTGACATGGGCACTACACAGATTGTAAACAAACAGAAGAACATTCCTGTTTCCAACTGAAGTCGCTTCAATGTAGCCTACACAAACAAATTCTGCTCCTCAGTTTCTTAGTGATTCTATTATTTTGTCAATTCCCTGTATATAATTAGTACCACAACCCTTGCTAATCCAGATGAACTGGTAGGAGGTCATCCAGATTAAGCAATAATCTGGATTAGTGAAGCAGAAGGTAGCCCTAAGAGACACAAAATTTAGAACACAAATAAATGGATAATGTTATGATATAGGTAGTGCTGATGAAGTAAATAAGAAAATCACTTTAAGCCTTTATTTGAAATCTATAAAAAGACAGTATACTTATTCATTGACCCAGAAGTTGTACTTGTTTTCAACATAATAATGCAGATTTGAAGAAACTGTCAAGTTTTGTCTGAACAGACAAGTGACTCATCTGTCTTCCTTAATGTCCTGTGTCTTTTAAAGCAGTGGTTCTCAACCTTTGTCAGACCGTGATCCGGTAAATTCTTTTTTTCCTACAAGAGAAGGGCCAGGTATCGGGCTGCGGTCCAGCGTTTGAGAAACACTGTTTTAAAGTATGTGCTCAACTCTGAACAGCATTTTTCATTTTTCATATTTTGATCCGGATTGTCCAACATCCAGATTAACTGTAATCAGATTAGCACGGGTTTTCTCTACCTGTGTTACACATTAGTGTATACAGCCATCTTCATTAACTACTGTAGCCTATTTGTTATACACGCTACTATAAATGATTCATTCGTTTTTAAAACGCTAACAAACATGATTGATATATAAAAAGAACCGTAAACTCACCACGTTTGCTTCACACTCTACAAATGTTCTATGTATGCCCCTTGGGTCACACCACACACGTCCAGGCTGTAGTCGAGCTCGTTCCACACATTTTGTAGCATCATCCTGTCAATGGTCATCACTGCAGCATCGATGCATTCCCTCAGCTCTACTAGTGTTCTTGGCAGTGGGGGGTATGTAAACACGATCCTTAATGTACCCCCAAAGGAAGAAGTCACAAGGCGTTAGATCAGGTGATCTGGGGGGCCAAGTGAACAGAGCTACCGCATCCTAACCAACAGGCCCAATCCAGCGATGCCGAAGTTCATTGTTTATGTAGCGACGAACACTGCCAAAACCACTGCAAAATGCTTTATTTACATGGCGGTTCTTTTCCTTACTCTCTTTTGAATGCGCGTTGCACTGCTATAACAGACAAACATCTCGCATATTTCAACAAACAAAAACTCTTTTCTTGCAATGTCGCCATTTTGTAAAGGAACTGAACTCGTGCTGCCAACTGGTGCATATAATACAAACTTCGTGAGTTTATGGTTCTTTTTGTATATCAATCATTTTGTATGTGTAATACTTTGGAAAATATACCGTTTTAAAAACGAATGAATCATTTATAGTAACCCTGTATTAACCACAAAGCATAATTTTGAAACTTCACCTGAGTTGCTGAATTATCGGCGATGAACACATCAGTAACAATAAATGAATATAAATTTGTAGTTAGGTTTTCATTCTGAGTGCTTTCACAGACTGCAGGGAAGCAGAGAAACAATGCAAAGAATCGGACAGGTCCTCCAACATCTCAGACTTGAAGATGGAGTTACGGACTGGCTCATCCGTAAGCAATGTCCACTGTGAACTTGAGTATGGACCTGATTCAGAGACTGGAAGTGAAAGCGTTGTTACAAGAGTTGGAGTACCTCTTGCAGGGCCTGTACCTATGCCGGTCAATGGTGGAGAGCACATATACCGATACTCAGCAGAGTTTACAGATCCTGTATTTCCTCCCAAAGTAAGTAACAAATGTCTTTGTTATTAGTGGTGGAACTTGACATTTCAAAAGTGTTCGCCAAATTCTGAGACTGAGGAAGGTCACGAAAACTCTGTCAGTTGAATATAGACAACTATGCAATTTTTACCTAAAAATTAATTAAGGCCAAAGGGGAACGAAATATAAACTAGTTAAAAATGGCAAGCAACTGAGCTTGTCTTTAACTTTATTGCACTTGTATGTGTTCCATACAATTGTTTTTCATTGAAAATATTTATCACAGTTGCAGAAGTTCTGTTTTCTATGTCTTACAGAAGTTTCACCTCAGTTGTCATTATTGATAGCCTAGTGACCTGAAACTGAATCCGGTGCAGGTTAAGTATGGACCTTCTTCAGAGCAGAAAATGTCTGCTCACAGACGCGCTGGTTGCAGTAACCTTTAATAACAAGGAAGATCATTTTTTACTTCTAGTAATAACATACTAAGATTATAAACAATATGATATTTGAGGCCAAAAATATTACTTTTTATTCCAACAAATAAGTAATGAAAGTTCACCTTTCAGATGGAATCATAATACTAGCCGTATTATTTCAGTAACGACTCATTAACAGTAGTTGGAAAATTTCCAGAGCAGTGTTTATAAAGTTCCCAGAGTCCAGAAGTGAAACAGACTTTCATTTGAGAATTTCAGGGAATCGGTTGGCCAACGGTCCTGTAATAATATGTCATACTACAGTACAGATGGCAGTAAGAAGTATATCAATCATTATTATTCATTGACATTCATGGTCTCCTAGATAGAAATTTTGAGTGTTCTGTATCTCCCTATGAGCAGCTCTCATTTTCTGATCAAACTTTTCAAAGCTTCTCTTAAAATAATCCGAAATTCTTCAACTTGCATAATTTCAAAAAGTTCTTCTGCTTGCAGTAGTACCCCTGAATATCCTTTCAAAAAGAAACTGTCAAAATCTTGAAGAATATCATGATATTATTGGGTACAAATACATGATTCGTCATCCCTTTCTTGTCTGTTTGCTTCTGTTAGTTGCGTGCTCTGTGAGCACCAACCACCTGAAGTATGTTAACACCTTCCATTTGGCTAAAAGAAGCTTGCAGAAGCTTGGAATGTCATTCACACCCTCCTCCCAAGCCTCTTCTAATTGGGCCTCCACCAACATAAGCTTCAGGAAAATGGTAACAAGCATATGGTCTATCTGTTTCTCCTATCAGTATGTGTAGTACCACTGAAATATCAAAGTGACATTTTTATTTAATTTTTCAACAAGGTAATCAAGCTAAATGGTTAACATGAATGCCCTGCCACTGGTTACGATCCTAATGAAATGAAACTAGTATTCCGTATTAAAGATCTTATGCCTATGTTTGCAGGATGGACAAAACAATAATGGTTATGTGCCCTATGTGGACTATACACGAGACTACAACCCACCACCACCCATTGAAAGCAGCCGAGAATCGCTGTCAGCTGTGACAAGTGTGGCAAGTGTAACAGGGGTACCAAGCATAGACCCACGTTATTCTGCAGTGTATGGAAACCCATACTTGCGAAATCCCAACACATCATTGCCACCAGCTCCAACGCATGCCATTGGCACACCTGCACCCCCACCGTACTCTGCAGCAACTAGGAATGGGGCTGTCCCACAAGTGGCCAGGCTACCCAATTCTCCAACATCACAATACATTGTGCCCACCTCACAGCCAGCAACCATGAAACGGGGAACTCTTGCCACGCATGTATAATAATTGCCAGGATACTTCTGCCCAAAAGGTGTTCTCTGTAGCAATGCCGTATACACTAATATAACTTCCAGGGTAAATACACTAGAGGGATTAAAAGAAGTTGAAGCAATCTGAAGCTCATCTGTACATACCCATAAGAATTTAGCTTTTCATAAGTGCGTGTATAGTGAAGAGTTGGAAGCCTTATGAGGATATTTCCGTTATATTTAAGCAATTAGTGGGATACTACAATCACCAGAGCTTCCAGTTTTGATCAGTGCATAGGTCACATAACATACCAAAGACATTGCTTAATTCACCACTTGTGTGAAGACAAGCCTTGCAGCATGAAGTGGACAACCGACGCAAATTTTGGGTCCTGCATTTTCTTTCCATGAAAGATGGTGAACAACAGACTAGTCAAATTAAAAACTGGCTTACAGAAGCTGGTTTCACATTTCAACTGGGGTGGCATAGGCTTAGAAGAGATCCAGAAATGTTGTGCAGTGTCCTTACCAGGGGATGGATTCCCTACTGAGTGGCCATGAAGGAACTGCCACGGAAGACTTGAACAACGCAAACCCAACGACTTGTGCATGCTCATCCAGTTTTGTTAATGTATAAACTTAAGTGGCTTTCATTGCTCTACTTTCTTCCAACTGCTGCTGAACGTTCCCTTATCATGAAAAGATTATATCTTAACTGTGATTAAAACTACTTTCAATGTATTTGCTAAAGAAATCTGTCTTTTTGGAATGTTTTGTGTTCCAAAAATTCACTATTTGATGTTACAAAAAAGTGAGAAATTCAAAACAAATCAGGCCTAAATGACTCAGCTTTTGGACAGAATTTTTACAAAATCGATGTTCATTTTAGACTGGTCTGTTATACTAGATGCCAGATGGCTTTAGTTGACTTTATACTCCATGTCAATTCATGCCAGGGCTGTAGGGAAGGGAGGAGTCTTGTGCAGCCCTATCTTCTCAAAATGTCCAGTGTCAAGGTGTGATAGTTTCATTGCATCATGTTCTTAACTTACGGTTGGTATTTTTATATTGTAGTTGGCAGGCAGCTACCAAGTTGACTGTAGTAAAAACCCGTCCCTTCTGCTAATGTCCAACCACTAAGATATAATATTGTTGCGCTGCCGCCCGGGCCAGTTCCGTGTTGGTTCAGTCTTTGTTTGGCATCTGTATTGTTGACATAATACTCAGGCATTTTCCATTGTTACTGGGTCTCTCTGTATTTAACGGTCTCATACTGCACTGAATCAAAGTGCTATATTAAGCACTGATAATACTGACAATGAACTTGTGGGATGTTAATGAGGAGGTTTTTAAATATTTACAAATGGTAATGTGTTCCATGTTATTAATTATTCATTTCCAGTAGGAGACAAGAAGATAACAAAATCTGAGATGTAATATCTCTGTGGCACAGAGAATTTAAACGCAGAAATTAATTTTTATATTATCATCTTCCTTACATTTAAACATTACTTTCAGTAAGGAACATACAGATAGCACAAATAAATACTTTTCTCCCCATACTGATCTATAGTACAGTTTCCGTGATCTCATTTCCCAACATAGATGGTCTAAATGATATAAAAGCATCATTACTTCATCATATGCCTGATTTTATGGATGAAGCAACCATCCCAACCCTTCCCAGTAACAAACTTTATAAACAGGCCTGTAAACAACCAACCATACAAATGCCTATTGTTTAAAAGTAGTGAGTGGTGATGCTATAAGACAATGTACTATCACAGCAGAGTGTATTCATTCTGAACTATGTGGTGAATATTGAAAGACCGTGCAGTGTGCACCAACGAACATAAATTTAAGTTACGTTTGATGTTGAGTGAAGCCTGCCTTAGTACTGAGTGATATTGATGAGTGTCTGGGCCTAATTGTTTTTATATAGCTATATATATATATATATTTGCCAAGATTGTGTACATTTTAATAAGTTGAACATAATGCAAGTTTGACTACAAAGTCATTGAACTGATGAAAAGAAGCTGCCAGCGATCTCTTTTAATGTCTCATAATTATGTAATGTAAATTCCCATTGAAGATATTTCTTTCAAGCACTAGACTGTTTGGATGTTTTACGAAGTTCTACAGTAAGTTGCCGCATACTTAAAAGTATGTTCTCCTGCTAGTATGCAATGTGGCACTTAGGAATGCTACCAGTGCTGAGTGTCATATGGCAAATGTCAAATTGTTATTATTTAGATGTATATCTAAGCATCTGGAAGAAAAAAGATAAAAAGATTGCCTACGGCCCTGATTCATTCCAATGTGTGTAGAGTCTTCTTCCGTTTCTATCGCAATTCGCTCAACATCGTCATTTTCTTACACACTTTTGGATTTCAAAAAAGGAAACTTTCCTAATAAAGCAATATCAGATTTTTGTGACTGAGAAAGATCAATTTTATGAAATGTATTATGAACTACCAATCCCTCAATACAATGCAAACAAATGAAGACAAATTAGAATAATTACATCACACAAATCTGCAGTTACATTCTTACAATTTACTGGCTATGATCCTCTTTAGATTGCAGTCTTCTGGGTTATGACATCATGTACTCTCACACATTGAAACCAACGTTTATGATGAACCTGTTACTTCTGCCACCCCCAGGAGATGGAGGTAGCAGGTTCCTCTGAAATGCTGATAACCACCTACAGAATTACACTGTCATAACCCAGATGGTCATAATCTAAATTTTCACTACCATGAAAACCTAGGATCTCACACAACTATCCTACCGTTCCTCTAACAGTGTAGCCAGGCAGTCCTAGTTCAATTCCTGGACTTGCCATCCTGATGTGATTAAGGAATCAGGATATTTGATTGAGTGCAATCCAGGTTTGCTATGGATATATGTATTTTGTGGCATGAATTAAAGATGCATGTATGCAATTCATCTATGCTTGCAGTGACACTTTCAAACTGAGGGAATCAGATAACAAGCATGAAAGAACCCAAAGAGCAGAAGACTGAATGGAAGGTTTTAAAGTTGAGAAACTGATCTTTCTGAACCATGGGCTAATGTCTACTTTTGCCTGTGACATAAATGCCTCAGAAAGTGCACCATGAAGAAAGTTACGTCCCTATTCAAGATGTATGAGTAGCATCACAAATTCAAGGAAAGTAACGATTTTTTGGAAGACAAACAGGGTAGCAAATAGCCTGCAACATCATGAAAAAAGGACAGTGAGAGACAGGGGCTAGAGCTGATTGCCATCATATGATAAAGGCAGTTGCAAGAGAGCCAAAATGTTGATGGGTAGTTGCCACACTATTCTCAAGGTGTGGAGATGCCCCACAACTTCTAGTATAGTGTATCATGAATTCTGACACAGTAGCGATGTGATATATGCTTGAAGATCATTGGTGTTCTCATCAGTGCAGCATATAATGATCAGGACTATCTCTGGAAGATGAAACTTACCCGTAAGCCACAGTGCTGCAGGTGAAGTACTGTGCACTGCAAGTGTGTTCCTTATTCTGCTAGTCAACAAGAGCCTGAGTGCCTGCACAGCAGCATCTCACTAGCACAGGACTTTCTCACACACTGCACTCTCACAATTTGAAACATGCAATTTTTTTGACTTCTTTCTAAGGATGAACAACCAGTGAAGTCCTGCCACTTCAAGGGTGCAGCATAGGTTCAACTACCTTAAAGATGGTGTTGCAGGTCACATGCTGGCTTCCAGAAATGTTCTGAACACAGCTGCTGATGGACAGCATTTTGAAGACAACTGCATCTAAGGTTTCTCTGTGTTGCAAAACTTGAACCCTGGCTCCTACCCAAGAACTTCTTGCAGCTAGCAGAGTTATCACAAAAAAAGGGGGGGCCTCACAAACTATAAAAGCAGTATGAATTTCTAAAAAACATATTCTGTGGGTTGTCTGCATTTCTATTTCATTCAGAAATATTTCATTATCATACCCATATGACAGGGTCTAACCAAATTATATGAAATTAATATTTTACACAGAACAACAACCAAAACATTTCCTCCAGCATATAATAAAATGTTCTCCACTGAAAGCAGCATTAAAATGTTATTCTGTTTCATGACATAAACAAAGCATGGATGGAATGGTAGTAGCTGATACCTTCCTAAATTCTACCTTTTATATTCCGCATACTAACCACAACATATTCTGATGGCCAAAAATGAGTGAACACTGGAGAATTAAGTACAGCATATATCAGAACTCAATATAAGTTTGTAATTTAATTTCATTGGTAGTTCCTAGTTCAAGAACCCTTGATATAAATTCACGGAGAAGAATAAAAGGTTAAAAAATGACACAAAATATTTTTACATATTTTCTTTAATGTCTAAATATCCTACAACAAGAAAGTGATTATTAAATCTATACACATTGTACATAAAGATTACACATATGCTGTCTAGCTTTCTTTTTGTACAATGTTTCTATTATTATTTGCATTACAGTGCATCACTTTTTGAAACTCAGTGACTATGTAAACGGCAGTGATTTCCAAAATACACATTTCATTAAAAGTACCCAAAAGTCAGTTTCTTGAAAGTACAAACTCCGTGTGATCTCAAACGTTCTGTTATACAATAAATGTCAGAACAATATTAATTAAAGTATAGTATAGTGACTAGGCAGGGACAGAGATTTCTCTTTCCCACTGTGGCCACATCAATTCTGGGGCTCACCCACCAACCGGTACTGTAGCCCGTTTTTCCTGGGGAGCAAAGCTGCTTAGGCATAAAGCTAATCATCTACCTCCATCTAGCGCTCAGGTAATTCTTCTACTCCATATACATCCTTATGGGGTGGTGCTCAATTAATTAAAGGGGAAACTTTATCTTTATCTATATCATACCATTTGGGCACACGGTAGCAGTTGGTTGAGGTACTATGCTAGAAGCTGGAAGGTCTCAAGTTCGATTCCCGATGAGATCAGATTTTTCAACTGACCTAAACCTTTCCAGCCACATTATGGCCCTGGGGTCGAATCAGCCTGTCACCAATACCACAAATCTTCCTGGGGCTAAAGGGCGGCTGGCGCATAAGGCCCACAACCTCATTGCCATCTGTTGCCTGGACATCTCACAAAAATATGGGCCTCCACAGCCTGTTTCAGGGATGGCTTTACCTTTTGTCTTAACCTATATCATACCATTTCAAACGTCACATTAAAGAAAATATGTCAACTTGCTGTTTAAAATCTGAAGATACTTTAAACTAGACCTAAACCCCACACACAAAAAACAGCATATTCTGAACTTTTGAAATATTTTATGGTTACCAATAAAAAGCAAATCACCCAGACCCTAAGAAATATTGATCACAGTAAGATGTGAATGGAAGCACATTATACGCTCCAGAGTAATACAAAGACATCACTTCAATGGTAGGTATATTTATAGTATATTTATACTGACTGCCTGAAAACAAATACATTTCAGATGAATGAACTGGAAAAGGATCAGACAGCAAGGAAAAAGAGATGAGGGTGTCATAGTTCAACTTCATGCACGTCATACCTTCAGTAAGTTCTCTGCTGAATTTGTTCATTCCAACTGAATTTCAGCTTATTGTGAATCATTCTTCTATATTCAATGTGATGTTTCCAATGGATAAAATGAAACAGAAACATCTTTTAAGATATTTCCATACCTAAAAGCCCAAAAAGGTACGCTTACAACTGAATAAAATTAGTCCAAACCATTTTACATTGTCTCACTTTTGTCATTATTCAAACCAACCATATTCTCACTAACTTCCCACAGTTTCTTGGCAACAGCAGGATCAAATTCCATTTTTGGTCCATAAAAATTACAATTACGAAAGAAAAGCCCTGATTTTCCTTCTAGCTCTTCTGATGTGGCACAATAAAGCGTTGTTTGTGCTCCCTGAAAGAATCAATTTAAATGAGGTTAGTGTTTCGTTTGTATTTTAATAACACAGTCTTTAAATTACAACACCGCAAATGAGGTTGGAAAGTGACTGTTCAGTTTATCAGGGAGTCCAACTGGCTTAGGCAGAATGGCAGTGCCATTACAGCTAGAAGATTTTGAAATGAGTGTTTTCATATGTCAGAAGTAAATCCCCATCAGGAAGATGCAATGTTTTATGAAACCTACATCAGACAGTTTTAAAAATACTGAAAACCAAAATTAATTTTCACCGTGTGCAATTATACAAAAATAAAGGAAATATTTCCAAAGGACAGTATTATTATACTTACCACTAAGATAAATGTTTAAAGCTTTGTAAAAACTTAATTCAATAACAAAGTGATACACAATTTTTCCGAATTTCAGTTTGTAGTGCTTTAGTTCAGCAATGAGATACCAACGTACAAATAACGACATTAAATTTGCAACTGCTTAAGTTATGTGAAGTCAATCTCTTGAGTCACATTATTCATATAAATCTGACTTGTAGATTTAAGATTAAATTAAGATTAAGATAAATTCAAATATTAAGACACTTTGTAGGAGTATAAATGGTTACATTGGACATAATGAAGAAAATTACTTTCTGCAAGTAATGTGTACCTGGACAGCCTGAGTTCAAATCCTGACTTGCTAACCATATGCTTAACAGATGGACTAGTCATATGCTAGTACAAATGTGGGTGATTTCAAATCCTAAATGGCCATTCAAATGTTACATAGGACTGGTAGTTCGGGCTGGTCAACCAAGCTACAAAGCCCCCATTAGATGCTGCAGCCCATGGAAGGCTCACTGTAGTATTAGTAGCAATGGAAAAGAAGCACATTATTAATCAAAGCTTAAACCGAGATGTCTAACTGTAAACACATGTGATGTGGAGGGATGAATCTAAGCATTGTGTATACTAAATCTGCTTACAAAACCTAATACAGGACTCTGATCTCCGAGGTAAAGTGTTCAAGGTACTAAAACCAATTCACTGTAGGTGCTTCAGATGTGTGAAGAATTACAGAAGCAAACAAGCAGCCCCTAATTTCCTACCATTTCTACGAAATATTCCATGTTTAAACCCTGAGGTATATGTCTTACACTCCAGATGAGGAATCAAGTATAACCACTGATTCCATCCTAAGTAGCATAGCACTAAAATTCTGTTCAAAGATACCACAACTAGCATGGCAACAATAGCTGGGAGTTGTGTCTGACTACACTTGTATTTTTTTCTCTCCCCCTTGGTATTTAGGCTATAAATAGTTCACTGTACAAATTCTAGATGATGCATGAGATAAATCAAGTATCTGGAGGAAAAGGAATGGGCAGTACAAAACTGATGCACTCGTGGAAAACCTGCCCCAGTGTTACTTTGTGCATTACAAAATCCACATGAGCTGACCTGGGACTGAACCTGGGCCACTATGGTGAGGAGCCAGCAACTAAGTCCTTGAGCTATGGCATGCCCTTGAACGATGAACCAGCCTGAGGCTTCACTTGCATGTGCCTAACTATGAGAAAAAGTAAAATGAGTAAAGGTAAAAGGTAAAGCTATCCCTCATGGAGGCCCATAGGATTGTGAGATGTCGAGGCTCCCACATTTTCTAGACAATCAGCTCACAGATGGTGGTGAGGTGTCAGCCTTACACTCCAGCCACCCTTTACACCCCAGGAAGATTCCTGGTACTCATTTCTGTTAGTGGCTGAATCGAGCCCAGAGCCCTTGTGCAGCTGGAAGGATTAGGTAAACTGAAAAAATCCAATGGCCTTATTGGGAATCGAACCCAAAACCTTCCAGCTTGTAGCACAGTGCCTCAACTAACTACACTACTGTGTGCCCCGCAGTAAATTTGGTGCATAAACACTAAATTCACATTTTGTACACTAGACTTCATATGGAATGTTGTTGTTCTCTTTGTGTCCTCTTCCCAGGTATCAAAGTTAGTAACTGGCACAATTTAAGCATTAACACCTATACAACTATGCTACCTGTACAAGGAAGGTATGATATAACAACCCCACCTCATAATTTTTGGTCTGACGGACCCTAATGGCATTATATTATTCTTCACATACTGCTGTCATCAACAGTTGCGTTTTTGTTATTTCTCATTTTTATCTACTATCCACTCAGCCTCTCTCATTTCTTTACTGTGGTAGCTCTACACATTCTTATCAAAATCATATTTTTCTGTCCCACACACCCTTCAAAAGGAACCAGTTCCTTTGTACACTCTTCTAGAGCACAAAAAAAGATAATCCTTACGTTTTTCTGTATGGAGCACAATTCTAAAGATGCCAAAATTCGGTTCTAACAATCCTGAATACTGCATGGAGCAGAACTTGAGAAAATGACAATTGCCTGGCTGGAATATGCAGGTTCACGGAAATAAGTAATTGGACCCTATCCTCAGTCATATGACTCAAGTTCACACCCCTTGCACACACTTCTCATTAAGTATGCACCCCACTAATACACACAGAACAGAGAAACTTTTCTTGACTCTACAGCCCCAGTGGGCCTAGGCCTACCTCAATGAACTTCTCCGTTCACTTCGGTTTTTCTAGATCTTACACATTCGGTAGGACTCCTTGGGCGGGTGATCAGCTCGTCACAAGGCCTCTGAAACTATACATTAGTAATTATATATTTTAATGTGTCGGCTGTTTGCATGTTTAAGTCCAATCCCATTTCTGACACCACTATTGCATGTTTCCTATGTAATGCGACAAATAAATTCACGCAGGTCTGGGATTTAGCAAATATTTATTGGACGCTCACTTTTACACATGCAAAACAATATTCACTTAGAGCGCCAATACACCGTTAGTACACTCTGGAACTCTGAAGTCTGAGCACAACCTGCTTCTATCTCGCTAGAGTCGAATCCAAAACTATGAGTAAAAAACTCAGAATCTCTACTGTGATTTACAAGCTGTAATTTCACTCAGAATCTCTTGTGATACTGAACTCTCATCAGAGCTACACTCTTATAGTATATCCAGCGTTCAGATGGAATAGGGAATACCTTATCAAAGGGTTAATTTCATCCACTATTATGCAACGAACAATCCGTTGCTTAGGAAATGCTAGCATTACTCAATACAGAATACCCTGTAAGTGTTTGGTTTCATCCATTATTATGGATATTCCCATGCAACAATCTGTTGGTATTCAATTCGTCGCTGTGGAATAATTTCCATGTATTCATTGTAGCTGAAGTATGCCAGATCAATCCAATCCATACCATCCCATCCTATCTCTCCAAGATCCATTCTAATATTGTCCAATATTGGTCTTCCTATTGGTATCTTTTCCTGTGGCTTTCCCACAAATATCCTTTACATATTCTTCTTCTCCTCATTCGTGCTACATGCCCTGGCTATCTCATCCTCCTTGACTTTATCATTCTAATTATACTTGGAGAAGAGTAAAAGTTATGAAGTTCCTCATTATGCAGTTTTCTCCAACTTCCTGTCACTTCATCTCTCTTCGATCCAAATATTTAAAATTCTTCCACCACTACCCTAAGCAAATCTGCCCTATACATTCCAAGCACCAAATCTCATATCCATTTCCTTTGGTTTAGGTCATTTATCCAATGAATCCATCCAGGTCCGAGGTTTCTTGTCCATCTTTCATAACAAGCTTATTTTTAAGCTGAGGAGTTGTTAGTCCCAGGCCCAACCCCCAAGCTGGAGGACCACCCCTTGTTGGCTCTTTGTGACTGCTTATTCAATATATATGCAGCTACCCTCCTTATCTCGAGGCTGTCTCCTCCATCTGCAACCTGAGGGTGCGCTTTGCTGAGGTGACAAGGGACCCACCTAAAATGTTGTTACCACAGTGATAAATTCAGCTATCAGCCTCACAGTATCGGAGGATTTAAAATCCCCTACTCCAAGATGATAAAATTCAAGGCGTGAATGTGGGGTGTCCTCTGGTGACACAAGTTTTGTAAAACAACTATCACTTAACAATGTACGAGTAACAAAGGAATACAGACACACACAATCAAAGATATGCTACAGTGTCAGATTCTGTGTGTGATGGAAAATATATGCTGACAGGGGGGACAGGAGAGGTAAGATTCAGCTACCATCACCACTATTACAATCAACAATAATAATCATCATACCTGGGATGGTGTCCGCATGAAAAACAATGCAACGGGCAAGAAAAGTATATAGTGGTACCACTTCACATTTGAGTACCTAAAAAGGTTTTTGTACACAAATCCTGGACACAATGCAAAAGAATCCACACCAGTGCCTTCTATCCTCTTTGACAGTTCAATGTTAAACAACATATTCGCCAGTTTAGAATTACAGTAGGCTGGGTTCATACGCCGTCCAGCTCCAGCAAATCCTTTTTCACCATTCAGGTTGTCAAAATCTATTGTTCCTCTTTCATGTAGCATAGAGGATACAATAACAATTCTAGAAATGAATAAGGAAGGCACTTCATTAATGCAAGAAACCATACACTCCAGCTCAAGCCGAGCTTATAGACATTGTATCATAAACTCATAAATAAAGCAATTTTTGTACTTTGCTATCTACACATAAAACCAGACGTGTATTATAATATACTGAATTTCATTCAATTACAAGACACTATGAAAGGTACTTTTGCTTTAAACACTTTCATCTGTATAGAAAAACGAACAAATTTATAAATCAATATTCAATTATACAACTTTGTGATCTTGGTGCAAATTTCTGTCATTATGTATTAGATACATCTAAACACATGCATGCATACATACATAGAAATTATTCTACAATAAGCCCCAAATCTCTTAAAATAGGGAAGGTAAGTCAAAAAATGTGAAACCATCTGACAGGTTATTTTATCCACTGTTTTTATTTCATAATATGCTGCATTTTCATCAGCAAAGTGTCTGGCAACATTTCTTGGTCAAAATGGATTACACTTTCTTTCACAGCCAACATGTAAACTTACGACGGTTTGATATTATGAATGTATCAAGTTTTACCTCCTCTACCACATACATCATCATGGCATGATGCTTAAGCACAGAGAAAACTTTACCTTTACAGAGCTCTGGGAAGTACTGCAACAATCTCCTCTTAAAAGTATGATTAATTTCGTACAACTGTTCTTTCACTCTCTGACCACTACTGTTTACTCTCTCTCTGATCAATACCAAATGAATAATAAAATACAGTACAAATTTCTGCTTTGTAATATATTTTTCTGTTTTTGACCACAAGATAAATCACATATACTGACTGATGTCCGTTTCCACATTATAAAGTACTACTTTCACTGAGAGAAAAAATACATGATGCCAAAATGATTATAGTGAAGAATGAGTCTGTGAACTGTGAGAAGGTAGCCTGGCCTATTTTGAGACAGAATTCGCATAATGAGACATAACTCTTATGCTCTCTAAATTCCTCTGAAAGATGTACTTAAAGTTTACCTGCTTGATGTTGAGTCTTTCAATCGTGGAAGCAACAGATTTGTCAGCAGAAAATGACCCAGGTGATTAACACCAAAATTAATTTCATAGCCATCTTTGGTCTTTCTATGCTGACAGACAGGTACAGACACTCCTGCATTATTGATTAATACATTAATATTAGGGAAATCCCTGAGAACTTCTTTAGCAAATCTTCTTACAGACTCCAGTGACTCCAGATCAAGAAGCATGGGAATCTGAAAAGAAACGAGTAAACTGATTGATCAAACTGAACTATGTTTGCAGAAACAATGTTGTATGGACCAAGCTTAGCAGTGGAGTTGTACTGTAGAGGGTTCAAATTGCAAGCAGCATTATGAATGTCACCTCTGATTTGTTTATACTAATAGGAGTTTACTTTGGAAAAGTCATTAGCCCATTACTAACTGGGAACACTAAAATCCCCCAAAACAGCAACATAACATAACTGAGGGTTCAAAATATCCTCCAAATAATTCAAATCTTGTTTAATCGTCTTGGTATCAGTATTAGGCAAAGAACAGTGATTACCAATAAGTAAACTGAGTAGTTAAGGACAAAAATTTAAATCCATATATATTTATTCTAAAGTTCAAGGCTGAATCTATGTTTGAGCCTGGCAACAGACTGGTGAACGGCAATAAGAGTTTCATCGCCGCAAGACACCAGTACAATTAGAACAATCCCTATCAGCACGAGAAACTGAGTACACACTGGGAAAGACATGATTACAAACAGAATTGTTCAGCCATGTCTTTGTAATGCAAATAATTATGTAATGTTGATCATGGACACAGTTATAAAATTAGAACACCCTGGTATTAAGACTCATAATATTCTAATACAAAATATCAATCCTACCAAAAGCACTTTTACCATACATGGCAGGATGATCCACATTTCCGGGAAAACTGAAGCCTCACATACTGAATGAATAAGTGAAGCACTTGGGCCATGTACCTCTTTAGTACCAGCAGGACTGACTGTTAAGAGTTGATGGGCCTTGATGTAGCAACAGATTTGGTTTCATCTTCGATGCGTTTAACAGGAGTACTCAAGGAGTACACCCAATCAGGCATAAGTATGCCACAAAAGAGAGTGATACAACAACCAGTAGGCCAAAGATCAAGAATGAGCAGCCTCACCACAACTTCTGGTATATTCTGATAAGGGGCCCCTTTAGTTGTGTAATCAACTTCTGTGTTTGCCTATGGACTGACTCTGGAGGACAATGATCCCTGAGACTCGTCTCCTGGTTTCCAAGGATGACGATCAACCTTTTCTTGTAATGTATTAATTTGCAACTTAAGAATGGCATTGCTATTTTTAAGATAAGCGACATCCTCACTAAGTTTATGAACTGCATCCAAAAAAGTATTCATGAGGTTCACTGTGCAGACCCCGTTAAGACAGACTGTATCCAAGTGGACACTAAGCACCTCATATTTATCACTGTCAAATATCAGAGAAAACTAATGCCCTTTCTGACAAGACAGGTGGCATCCTTGTATGTGGTGAATCCACCATTGGCTCAGAAGGCATACAGAATATCTATAAACTGGGAGACAAATCAAACTGAAACAGAGGCACAAGCCCCAGAACACCCAATGAATTTCTATTTACCATAAAATGTCTGTGAACACAGCAACCAAATATCCCAGCTCACAACCATTCTAGGTGCTGAACTCACAAGACTAGGCTATCACAACATAAGCACAGCCTAAACATGGCACACCACCCCAGAGTAGTAATGCACTGATTATAATGATAATATAAAACAATTAACTCCTATTAAATTTCTTATTTATTTACATGCTTACTCAACAGCCTAATGGAAGTCTCACTATAAAGTTTAATTATGAGCAACAGTTTTGGTTGTAAAGTCAATACCCCTTCAAACAGCATAAGTGCACCTAGTAGCACAGCTTTTAACTGAAGAGAGGACAATTAAAAAAACTTGCATATGCAAAGCAGGGACTGAAGAACCAACAGTTTCCTAAGGAGGAGTGTCTGCTCAAGTAAAAACTGAAGAGCAGATTATAATACTAAAAAACAAGATTTATGTAGTAATTAGCATTTTTCTGTCACCGCACAGTTTGCAGTTTAATTCAGTCGTAATAAAACTGTGGCTCTTATTCTGAAGCTTGCGTATGATTTATTAGTACAAGTTGGACATACTAGCAATTATTATTCTCACAACATTTCAGAGTACTAACTGGCCAAGCACAATGGCAAAAATAAAATGATCCTAAATATTATAAAAATTTATTATAGATTCTGACAAAATTGATCTGAAAACATTATTTTGGAGTCTCACATACCTCTACAAAACCTCTTATTAGCTTCACAATTAGAATTTTGAACTACCGTATTTAATACATACGCAATAAAAAAAATAACTCGACGCCGTCATATCTTTCAGATTAGTTTACGTGTTGTCTACTTGGCTCTCTCCGTATTGTTAAACATCACAGATTGGATTATTATCCAACATACCATTCTTTTTTGGGTTAAAACACATACGTATACTGCACATTAAGGTGTTCCCGGTACCATTTGTGCCACTAAGTACTGATCTCAATTTTGTATTTCGTATTCAGGCAACTAATTGACTGGGTCGACAGTAAAACACCGGCTGAAATACAAACTCACTAATTCTCCAGAAGAAACATCACGCCGAATTTCTTCGATCGCATTCTTCGCATTTTTCAAATCACGGCATGCCATTATAACACGCGCCTTCCTACGTGCTAATTCACGCACGGTTTCCTTTCCAATTCCTGAATTGGCACCTGTGACGATGAAAACCTTCCCATTTAGTGAAGATTTGCTCTTGCAGTATCCCCATTGATATTCGCGAAATTTACGCACTAATCCAACTGCGAACAGAAAAGGAATAATAACATAAACCAAACCCGGCATTCCTAACCCCATTCTAGTACCTACTACCACCACAACCACCCACTTTTCTTGCTTAGTTGTTCAACGACCGCTGCAAACAGCCTCAGAGTCAACGATTAGCCAGTGTATTCCTGCATAGCCAACTTTCGAATCGCAAAAATTGCTCATTTCAAAATTAGAGACAACGCATTTGAAAACGTTCAATTAGTTTGCAGTGGTCATTATTCATTAGTGGCATGCTATTAATTCTACCGCTTCAATCGCAATACATATTATCGCTTCTCCTATTTGTTGTTTACAACAAAGATAAATTCAAATTAAATTCTGATGTCTATAACATGAATACTAGACAAAAATATAACTTCCACCTACCCTCATCAACTTTATCAGTATATCAAAAAGGAGTCTACTTTACTGGCATAAAAGTGTTCAACAATCTGCCACAAAGTATTAAAAACTTGGGCAATGATACTAAAAAGTTTAAATCAGAGTTAAAGAATTATCTACATGCTCATTCCTTCTGCTCTTTAGATGAATACTTCAATGTAAATAGAGAATGATGTAAAATTAAGTTATATTATTTTTTAAGCTAAAATTGCCTGTACTTATGTATGTAACCTTTTGACTTGTTCTGTATCCAAAGGTACTAACCTGCTTAGGATTTACAGAATGTAAATAAATTCAATTCAATTCAAAGACATGACATTTAGGAAGGCAGGTGTCACTTGTAACTTCACACAAAAATTGACAGTTTCTTCAAACCTGCATTACGTTCAAAAACAACTATAACTTCGGAGTGTTCTATCAATGAATAAATATACTGTCATTGTGTAGTTCTTAAGGAAAGTCTCCAAAGTGATATGTTTTATTTATTTTCATCAGCACTATTTATGTCATTAAATTTTCCATTTATTTGTGATCAAAGTTTTTTGTCTTTCAGGGCTACAGTTTGCTTTACTAATCCACATTATTGCTTAATCTGGGTGACCTCACCCCCCCTAATTAATATGGATTAGCGAGAGTTTACTGTATTTTCATCACACTCTCTTAAATTCTCAATTAACCTCATTTTTGGGTATGCATGTGTGTGTGTGTGTGTGTGTGTGTGTAAAAATGTCGCTCCTTTGGTCCCTTCTTCTCCTTAGTATTGCATATCCATTGCTTTGATTTTGCTTCTGTTTCGCTTTGTTATGCTCATACTTTGGAATTGCACATTAATATTAGTTTAAAGAATACTTCAAGGATGGTTGTTTTGTAGCATTTTGGAATCTGTCTGTTCCATACTATTCCTTTTATAATTTGATAAAATTTAAAACTGTTTTATTCTTCATGTGGTCTGTCCTATTTAGTTAATCCCATGTCTATGCCATGTTGCCATGTTACCATGTGCAATTAAAGCCACATTTCAGGTTTATTTTAGTAACATCGGATTTTGGGGCTAAAGTGAGGAAATCTTAAATTGAGATGTATTAAATATGGATTCCACTGTGCTGTTGGTACATCGGGAAATAATTTGAATTTCCTGCCTAGTATCCAGTGTTGTCTTAATACATAAAAGTCTTGAAACTTTGCGTACAAATGAAGCTGGCAACATTGAGGCCTCGAACTTCCTAACTATTTTTGTCTTACAGTGCCTCAGTAAATAAGCAGTTTATAAAAGAAGATTACACAGTACATTAAGTGTTGCACACTAACAACTAACTAATTAACATTATAGCAGCCATATTCAGAGGTTTGGTACTGCTAAAACAAAATTATATATTGCAACATGTATAGCTAGGCAATGGCATGATAAACATCTCCTCGTGTAAGCGCCCTCAACAATAGGATGAATGTTCATAGCTCCTTGCTAGGCGACAGCATGCCAATGGACTGGCCAGGTAGCTATCATGTGACTGGCTTTGTACAGGGTCCATGCTGCGACCGTTGCCATGCAATCATTCAGTAAACACGTTTCAACAATATCAGCTGTGTTTTATGTGTGGTCCATGCAGGGGCTATATAATGACAGTTACAAATACAACAAGTTCAGTTCTTAAGTGACAGTGACAAAGTTGCGAGTACAAGGATGAGAATGGAGTGTGTGATTTGAAGACCTTAATTAGGTGTAATATTTGGAATGTGTGACTCAGTAAGACTCTTCTAGTTTCTGCGTTGAGATCCATTGCCAGGAGACAACTAGTGAAGACGGAGAATCTTCGTGTGTGTGTGTGTGTGTGTGCGACGATGAAATGGAAAGTAAATCAGCGATAGCACTGTATTTACTGCATTTAAGTGTGATTAAGAGGGTTGTAACCAAAGTGCCAATAAATCCAACCATCCAAACTAGAACCCATCATTTTGTCTAAGGCACACACTATCTTCGCTTGCTCAGAAGCCAGGATCGTGGGTTCAAATCCCACTCAGGGCATGGATGTTTGGTGTTTGTGTATGTGCATTTTCTGTGTTTGTGTACAGGTGGAGGCCTTGCGACAAGCTGATCACACGCCCAAGGAGTTTTAACCAAATGTCTTAAAATCTAGTAAACCGAAGTGAAACACAGAGGTAGGCCAAGGTCGAAATTGGGGCTGTAGCGCTAAAGGAAAAAAATTATGAAGCAATGTGACTTTGACAGACCATCTACCTGTGTGGAGGTGGGGTTGAATACCTCCACCGTGACCATGTGAGTCTAGGATGCAACAAAAAGGGAAGTCTCAAATCTGAGACAGTAAAATATGGTCACAAGTCCCAAGGGACTCAGACCCGAGAAAGACTGTGCTGGCAAGGGCCAGCAGCATATACAAAAAACAGACCTGTCCTCTCATCAGAGAGGGCACCCCACAGAAACAACACTGTAACTGTCAAACAGTAATAAATATCTGGTCATGAGCCCCAGATGGGGTTCAACACCAAGGCTTACTGACTGACTGACCAACTGACCGTCAGTCTCAATGTGACTTTGACTTTGCAGACCATCACCCATGTGGAGGCAGGGTCGAATATCTCTACCATGACCCTGCGAGTTCTCTCTTTTCTTCTGGCTATCCCACCAATATCCTGTATACATTCCGCTTCTCCCCATGTGTGGTACACGCCCTGCCTATCTGACCCACCTTGAATTGATTTTTCTAATCATACTTGGCGAAGAGTCCCATTTCTGACGCTCTATATTATGCAGTTTTCACTGAAAGGCTTCCAATACTAAGTAACTAAACATCTTGCATTTGAGCTACTCATGGTGAGCAGTATGAAGAATAATATCTTCTGAGATATGACGTCATGTAGTTTGGTAGAAGTTCACCAACATTTCAGAGAGTCATAGTAACTCTAGCTTCAGCGTCAATAAGCAAGCCAAGCAAGAATTCAGAATGAGCTAACTGTTGTTATGTTTAGTCACCACAATAGTCTGTATTATTACACCTATATACAACTATATTACAGCATATTTCAAACCTTCCTGGCCATCATCAGGTAATATATTTTACATTTAACTTTTTACTTTACTGCTATTTCTCCCTACACTGGCCTACGTATTATTTACGGGAGAGCATCAGTGTGTTTCATAAAAACTTCAGTAAACACATTTCTAAAACTTCACCCAACTTTGATTAGATTCTATTCTGAAAAATATTTTAATCCCTCACCCTGCAACTGGATAAACAACTCATGTTATACACCCTAAGCCTGGCAACTGTTCATTACATGTATTTACAATGGAGATTTCTTAATATAATTTGTATGAGATCAATAATAATTGAATGTGGCAAGTTATACAGCAGGTGTCATGAAAAGGAAAATCCTTAGAAACAATTTTGGATATTTACCAGTATTATTTGGGTTGGTATGTCCATCAATGAATGAAATTTGGTCAAAATTGTCAGAATGATGAATGGGAGGATAAATGCATGTATGAATACACAGATGTATAATTAGTTATGTTATGTTCTGAAACAGAAATAAGTATTATATTTTTAATTCAATGCAATGGAATAACATATGTAGAAATTAAAGATATTAATATTTCACAATTACTCATGCAATGTAATATAAATTATTATTGTTGCTGTTGTCATCAGCAGCAGCAGCACCACCACAACTGTTGTTAGGAATTTTGTATAAGAACAGGAATGGTTTTTTTTTTGTATTATAATTTGTATGATTTGATTGATGTAGGTGATTGTTTCTGTAAGACTTATGTAATTTTGCATGAACATTGTAAAATGGACTATTTCCATATCCTGGGTTGTACCTGTACAAGGATACATGGAAAATGCATGAATAAATATCTTATATATTACTCTATAAGCATTTAGAAATAGATAAAATCTGTATGAGTGAAATACACCATAAAAAATGGCATGAGTGTCACAAAAATGAGTATATAATTATATTCAAATGTTCAAATAAATAAATAAGTAAATACAAAAACAGACATAATTATAAAGTTAGAATATATATGAGAGCAACACTCATCAAAGTAATCCCACAAGACAAAGCTATGCTATAACCTGTCTGAAGCACAATAGATCACCGCAGGTCGCGGTGCAAGGGGCGAGAAGGCCCACCCCTTATACAGTCATTCATTCATTCAACCTGCTTTGCTGGACAAGGCTTCTTAAACGTGCTTAGCATACAACTAAACATAAAGCAATTTAACTTAATGAATAATTTAAATTAGAAAGTTTGATGTGACACCTATTCAAACATTTTTGAATGTTTACATTAACATAATCAAACACTGCCATTCGATAAGTACATGAACCAACACTTCTTTAGAGGTATAGAGATTCAAGTCAATTCCTTATTACTTGTGACTATGTATCAAGTCGACAGCTACAAGGTCAATTACAGAAAAAAAATACTACATCTCTACAATTAGACTCCTATCGCACAATGCAAATATCATGTTTCTGGACATTATCCATCTTCCTGCTCTTATTTAGAACACAATCTGGATTCTGCATCTCTCTTCAGGTAAAACATACTCAGACCAACTGATACTGCTAGTCCCTATCTCCAGACACCTGCACCAACACAAGGTAGGGTATACAACCAAGTATAACACAAACCATCTGCGAGAGTTAAGATAAATTGTTACAAATTTAAAGAAAATTCCACATGTATGAGGCCTAGCACCACAGTACTATCAGTACCATCAGTACAAGTCATCACTGGAGAGATAAATTGTCTGTTTGGTACCAACATAAAAAACACTAATTTTCTCACATAACCTATACAAGACAGAGTTGTAGTTTCTTTACTTCTGCTGTGATAACAGGAGTCTACATGGGAGCAATGTCCAAGCTGTGTTGACTGATCAGATGGTCTATCAGAGACATGTGGGCAGATTCCTTGTATTTCTTGCATGTGGATGTTTGGTTCAATCTGCAAGACTTTCGCTTCTTTCCAACATATTTTGTGTCCATCTTGCAGATTACTCAACCCAGCTTGGACATCTCTCCCATCTGGACTCCTGTTATCACAGCAGAAATAAAAAAAAGTATAACTCCAGCCAGTGTAGATCAAGTGGCAACATTTGTGTTTTCTATGTTGGTGCCATACAGAGAATTTCTCTCTCCAGTGATGACTACTATTCTGATAGCACTCTGCTGTTAGGTCTCATACATGTGGAGTCTTTTTTTATGTTTCAATGTTTTGTCTCAACTCTTGCAGATTGTTTGTTCTGTGCTTGGTTTTTGTACCCTATCTTGTTGCAGGTATCTGGAGATAGGGACTAGCTCTATCAACTGGGCTCAACTGAGTAGGTTTTACATGAAGATAGAGATAGAATCCAGTCTCCGAAACGTCATATTTTAAATATGAGCAGAACGGTGTCTTAAATGGAGACAGAGTGATGGATAATGCCCAGGAACATAATCTTTGTAAAAATGTACTATAGTCACAAGCTTTATGATCCTGTCACACAAATTTAAACATTTATTTCTTCATCCATAAGTTATTGAATTCCAGTGACAAGATTAAAGCTGTTTTCTTCTAGGTTATGACACCATGTAATCTTGTATTTCTACACTGAAGATAGGGACAACAGGTTCCTCCTGCTGGTAACCACATATAAGATTACAGGTTGTCATAAACCTACAAGACTACAAAGTAAGTTTTCACTGCTGCAAAATCCCCGTGTCTCATCAATGCAGCTTTTGTCTTTGGAATGAGCTGAAATTTTTATGCAACCTCCATGGATTTGAGCCAAAAAATGATGGAAAAAAGAGAGAAATTTAATTTCTAATTCCATCACTGGTTGTGACTTATATGTTGACTTAACAGTAACTACTTTAAAGAAATGTTAAACATGAAGAGTACTTACCATCTTCTGGGATATAATGCTGTGTAGTCCACTGAATGTCAACCGACATTTTGGAAGAACATATCGCTTCCATCTTCAGGGTTGAATAAGCTGAGCAACATGCTGGTATCTTGCTTGGCTTATTTGACCCTGAAGATGGAAGCGATGTGTTCCTCCGAAATGTCAGTTGACTTTCAGAGGACTACACAGCATTATATCCCATCACTGTGAGAACCTCAAATCCTACACAATGATAAACATGATTTATCATTCAGAGAAAACAGTATCTATAAAAGTAGAATTCACTGATAGTCTTTCAAATGTCAATTGATACAAAAAGAAACCTTCATATTATAACATATAGTCAGTTAACATATGACTACATAATTAAGACAACAATAATCTTTCAGTGCATAACTTTCTAGAATGACAGTTATTGGTCCGCTTAGGTAGTGACATAATCACACAATTTTAATAGCAACACACAAACTATGTAGGTTACTAAAGTTTTCTGTTAACATGACAAGTATATTACTTGACTACACAATGTATTGATCCATAATAAAAATAACCTAATGTCTGTAACAGGTATATTGTCTTTTATTTGCCAACTGATGCAGACTTTGCTGGGGTACACAATACAAGAGATCCTCCAAAATGTTTTCATGTGTTGAAGTAGTGATGTAAGAACATTATGTTGATAACAGGTATGCAAATAATTTGTCTAGTTGACAGATTTATCAACAATCTATAACCTCATTCATAATCATCTCCAGGCCTTCAATGCTGCAGGCATATTGTGCTCATTTCTTAATCAAAGCATTTATACCTGCCAGAAATCGTCCCACCACCAAGTTTCTGGAACAGACAGGTACTCTCTCACCTCTACATTCGCTCTTTCCTGTAACAGCATAAGTCGCCTGATTTCTGACTTGAGACGAAGTGCTTCCATCTGGAGAGTGTGCACCTCTTTGCAGGAAGCAGCTTTTTGTTCCTAAACACACACAACACATACATCCTGCAACTCAAATCAAAATGGCAGAACATGGAGTTCTAAGTAGAACTCATAAAAGCTAGTTTATGACTTCACAGACTTTCATCAAGGTTAGTCTTAGATTTTGCTGGTGTAATTCAGGTTGAGCTTTTGTGTGCTCTAATTTTTAACATTCATTTTCAATTTAACTTATGTTCAAGCCATGCTCATAAAGAAACAAGGTGTCAATCTGGACATGAACCAATGGCAGGTTCTTGTGAACATCATTTGAACCTACAGGTTACATCAAAGGGGGACCTTTCTTGACTAGCTGTATGACTACTAGCTTCTCAAGAAGGATGTGACTACATGGAGTTATTTAGTTTCAGCCATACAGATCTTATGTTGTTAATGTTGTACATTATTTATATAATATTACGTCCAACAATAAAGTTCAATTTAGCTCATGAGTTAGTGGACTGAACTTGAGAAGGTGGTCACAGCATTCAGTCATACTGCAGTCAATACATATTTCTTGCATGCAAATATATATATGTGTGTTATATTGTTATCATTGTTAGTGCCACTGCCACTGCTGCCACCACCACCACAATCAATATCATTTCTTTGTGACAAGAGCTAATTAATTAGTTTACATATTCTGACTACAATACATCTACCAGATATAACTTCAAAGTTTCATGCCATTTGTCATGTTGGTAAGTGCTGACTTATAAACAAAAGTGCATGTTCCTAGTTCCAAAGTTTCATTACTGTCACTGTCAAATTAAAAGCTAAATGAAAACTTATGCATACTTGCTATGTCACTGTTTCACCTTCTACAAAAAAATACATCAATAAAAGTTGCATATTTTTCAATGCTCTACATACTTTAAGATCTTACATAAAGTGGCACTAGTGATAACCTTATTAACTATGTTGTATCTTAGCGTCCTGTTGCACTGATTCATATTCATATGTGCATATATTAACAGTCTTCAAGTGCATACATCCAACGATACAATGCACACAGCCACACGAGTAGAACACATCATAAGACATAATATACACACAACATTAGAAACATAAGAAGAACGAACCCCATGTGGATGATTAATAAGACACACGAATTTTAAAAATATGACATATGACATAATAAGTTTTAACAAATTTTAAATACATAAACTTTATTATTATAAGGACATATACAAATTTAATATTATTTGTAAATGGACATATAAAGGCAAGCAGTGAAATGGTTAATGGATCGATACACCTGAAGATGGCAGCATACAGCCGAAACATGTAGTGTGGAAGTGGTAGATGGGATTGTATGCACTTGAAGACTGTTAATATATACACATTATGAATATGATAACCTTATTATTATTGATTATAGGGAATTAAGAAGTACAATGCTGGACCTCCATGGTATAACACTTCATGCAAACAGGTTAATTTGTTCAAAAGTTGAAAGATGTTACACATACAGCATGGTGATCTCATAAGCCTACTTTATGCCTTAATGAAGGAAAAGAGGCCATAAAAATCAGTGGTTGACTCCACAGGTGTGTTTAGGGTCAAGGGACTAACTCCAAGTCCTCATAAATGTACGAGTACTAGTTGCTCAGATACCCACAAACTATGTTAAAATGATGTACATCATCATCATCCTCACCATCATCATCATCATCACTGGCACGACAGCCCTTTGTGAGCCCTGGCCTTCCTCAGGACTGCTTGCCATTCTTCTCTATTGGATGCTACATTCCTCCAGTTCTTTACACCCAAAATTCTTATGTCCTGCCACACACATTCTTCCCATCTTAACCTTNTGGGTATTAATTGGGATTTCAGGTGTTTCCTAAGGCCATGGAGACATTTATTTGCTGCAAGTACACGCTTTTTTATTTCATCACTGATATCATTTTTACAGTCAACTTCTGATCCAAGGTAAGTGAAACTACATACAACCTCAAATTTATATGAGCCAATTTCAATATATGTAGGTCCATTAGCCCAGTCTTTCTTGGTTACCGGCATGTACTTTGTTTTATTTTGGTTAATTTGTAGATTCATCTTTTTTTGCTGCTTTTTCCAAATTAAAAAAAGCTTCTTTCATAGATTTTTGTGTTCTACCAATTATATCAATATCATCTGCAAATGCCAAAATTTGAACTGACTTGTAGAATATAGTTCCCCTTGTGTTGATGCCTGCATCTCTAACTACCTTCTCTAAAAATGATGCATATAGTATGAAAACTCATGATGTTCTATGACTTCTGGAACATAATGTGGACAAGGCAGCATTCTCAACATCTTGCTACTCCTACTGCCATTATATCTCATTCCCCCTACCCCCATCATAACGATCACAGCTACTGTAACACTGCACAGGAAATAATTTTGCAATCTGTAATGTAACATATGACTAACACAGTAACAGTATGGTAGGGAACTAATTGTTACTGTGCCCCGTTCTTCAGTTTCTGTAGCTAGGCAAGCAGTGTCCTTTGCCCATCTGTCCCAGGATACATATTTCATGTTTAGAATTTTGCTAGTTTGATTTTGGAACGTTCAGTATGTCCGTTACATGATGACAGTTTAACTCACTGATGTGGATGTATCTGTTCAAATGTGCACTTAAACATTAGTGCATACATCTGAGCTGGTATGAAGTATATCAGTACATTTTATAAGTGAACATACGGAATATTTCTGGGTACCCTTTAACAAAAGGTTCCTTCCATATGATGTTGAAAGGAAACAATTCTCCTTATTTTAAACTTTATTTTCATTTATTTATTGCAAAAATGATTAATATAAAATATGTACAACACTCAATTTTTAATCTTGTAGATTTTAAAGGGTTATGATGGTGGTGTATAATGCTTCGGATTACTACATTTCTGGACTTTGTCCAGCATTCTAAAAGACAATGTTCTTGACACTGGATCTGTTCTGCTCCGATCTCAACCACCTGACAATCCAGTAACAGAGGTTAGCTGTTTCTAACAGAACCGGCATAATAGGTGTCTCCCACTTCCTCACCTGAGGATGGAAATACATTCAGTTTCTGATATGGTGGGGGTTTTAGAATACTGGGTGATGGACAAAGTCCAAACACCTGGTAATCCCACGTTTAATAAACCTGTGTCAAGTTTTGGAAACTTGGATTACTTTCTCAAAAAATATTATGGACTTAGATTTGGTCTTTATAATTTGTCTTTGGCTGTCAGTTTATGAGATAAGATTTTTGTGAACAAATGTTTGAAGCATCCTGTGGATAATGTTAAAATTCAACAACTGCCATATTTTTATGCAACAGGTGTGCAAGAATAAACATTTTATGTCTCTTACAATTTGTGTTTTTGCAAGAAGTGCATAAAAGAAACACACAATAGGAACACTGTATCCAACCACATGTTTCAGTTCTAAAACTCCTAAGAATATTATATTACATTTGATAAAAGTCATTAGGTGAATTTTAAGGTCCAATTAGACTTTGTTAGTTTTCTCCATACAAGGACTGTGTAAAGTAAGTGGTACATAAAATAAAATACAGCCCTCACTAAGATTATTCTGATAGCAAGTAAAATATATTATACAATTAAAGCTCTTATCACTAAGTTCTCTTCTTTAGTTCTGTGACTTTCCTAATACCGCTAGCAGTGTTCATTTATCCTTTATTTTAAAATAATTATTTTATGACATAAGAAATATATAAAATAATTATTCCTAATTTTTTCATTACCTCAGATTCTAGCTGTCCCTGCAGTTTGCTGATCTGAGATTGAAGGTTCTGTATCAGTTTATCTTTGGCTTCCAGCCTCTGAACAACAGTTAAGAGATTCAGGTTCATTTCACTCATGTTGTCCTGAAGAGCCTGTACTGTTTCATTCTCCATCTTCAACTACAACAAATTGAATACACTTGGGCATTTATTTCAGTAAATATAAGAAGTACCACTAAACAAATCTGATATTATGGCATGTAAACCCACTGCTAGGCAATGACTGTGAAATAAACAACTATACAATGGCTGTTATTAGGCAGCGGCCTGTAAACAGCAACAGAGAAATGGTATTTCTGTGCAGTCTGTGCCGAGATGTTATAAGCAGAAAGTTATGAGCTGCAGTTAGTGAGATAATCGCTGGGGCTGTGAGCTGTTGCTGTGAGAAGCTGGTAGCTGAGGCCGGAGACAGTTTGGGAACCCAGAGGAAGGGCAAAATTTGATGCTGGAAGCTGCTACCAAGCAATGGCAGTGAATATGTGACTGTGCACATGAATGTGTGTGTGCGCGCGTGTGTGAGTGTGTGCTCTGTGAACTGTGGTTGTGTGGTGTATCATGTATAAAAAAATCCAGTCATCACTCAGAAACCAACATCGTGATAGCCCTGGCTATTTCCATTTCACAGTTCCTGGCAGCCAAAATCTGACAGCCTGTAAAATCTTATGTATTATACATCATGCATATCCTTTTGTATCCGTGAAATTTCAAATTGTATTTTATAACAAAGTCTTTACTAATATATATGTATCAGTATCATGAAATACTCATGGAATTTCTCATGGCCTGAGGGCGCATTTTGGCTTGTACAGGTCCTCCCTGTAAGCTATTTGGAAACAATAAAAATAACAGCTAAAAAGATAACTGATCTTAATTATAATACCTGCTGCTCATAATCTTGTATCTTTTGCTTCAGTAATTCTGTCTCTTTTTCCGAGGTTGCATTCCTTCTTATCATAAAGTCATACTTCTCTTTCAGGTCATCTGCAGCACATTTGCTGGTTGCAATCTGTAAATTGATGTTACGTTACATTATATTGCATTGCATTCCCTGGATCCAAAGTTACCCCAAATTACTGTAGGATGTGGAATATGTCATATAAATACATAAATATGTGTACAGTACAACTGAAGTTTTCACACAAGAAACCCCAAGAAAACACTGTGGCTAGATATGAGGCTATTCAGAAATAAATCTACATAATATATATCAATACTGTAAACTTACACAATCTTTAAATGGATGAGTCACTTTGTAGATCATAAGTGTTCATTAACAGAATATAATGATTGTGTGTTTAAGTATTGTTTCCGTGCTATTCTAAATCATGCTTTTTCGTTCATAAGGCTTCTGAGATCAGATGACAGATTATAGAAGATTTTGATCCCAGCATAATGTATGCTTTCCTGAAAGCATGAGAGGTTAGCAGTTGGTTTACGGAGATAGTGCTTGTGTCTTGCGTTGACACTGTGTACATATTAATTGGTATGAAAATGTTCTTCATTATTTGTAATGAAGTTTATTATTGAAAATATATATTCACATGGAAGAGGTAAGATCTCTGGTCTCTTAAATAGATCTGTACAAGAATTACAGGATTTGGCACCCAGTTTTCTTTTGCAATGTAAATGCCTTTATGCTGTCAAATGAATTACCCCAGACAATTATCTCATACTTCATGCAAGAGTGAAAGTAAGTAAAATAAATTGATTTGAGTGTGTCAGTATTGATAATATGCAACACAGATCTAACTGCACAACATGCTCCACTTAGCTTTGTAACAAACTGATCGATACAGTCTATCCAGTTTAAATGATTATCAATTTCTAATCCAAGGAATTTTGTGTTTACAATTTCTTCTATATATTTATCATTATATCCAATGTATAATGAATATTGTGGTGAGATTTTGTTATAAATTTTATTACATTTGTTTTATCTAGATTTAGGGACAGCTTGATTGCAGAAAACCATTTACTCATTTCAGAGGGAACTTTTTTTAATAGTATGCAGAAATCATCTAAACTTTTACTAGATATTATGACACTAGTGTCATCAACAAGTATTATGTGTATTGACAAGGTGTTTTGTATAGTTCATTTATAAAGATTAAGGAAAGCAAAGGCCCTAAAATTGACCCCTGTGGAATTCCATGCTTTACTGTTCTCCAGTCTGAGTAGGTACTTTGGGTTGAATTTGATAATTTTATTTCAATCTTTTGTTTTTTGTCTGTTAGGTAGGATCTGAACTAAGTTGTTGTTCCTTGAATGCCAAAAAATGTAATTTAGTTAATAAAATTTTGTGATGTACACAGTCACAAGCTTTGGCCAAATCACAGAATATTCCACCAACATGAATTTTCTTATTAATAGATTTTAATACACTGTTTGTTAGCTTTAAGGCTGCATTTTCAGGGGGTATTCCTTTCCTGAAGCCAAACTGTTCTGGGGCTAGTATATTATTAGTCTGTATATAATGACTTTACCTATTGTGCATAACTTTCTCAAGTACTTTAGAGAAAGTAGTTAATAATGAAACTGGCCTGTAGTTTCACATAATAGTTCTGTCCATTTTCTGTATAGTATTTAAATCTTAGGACGATCAGGGAAGATCCCTGTGAATAATGAGTGATTACAAATGTGAGTTAATGGGTGACTGATTAGAGATGCACAAACTTTTAAATTTTTACTTTTATTTTATCATGACCTAATGAGTATTTTGCTTTGAAGGAATGTATTGTACTTTGCATCTCAGTTTCAATGTTTGGAATGGTCTTAATACCAGAGAATTTTCTAGGAAATGTCTCTTTTAAAAATGCAATGGTATCACCTCTCACTTCCTGATGCAAGATTAGGTTTTCAGTAATTTTCAGGAAAAAAGTATTGAAGGCATCAGCAAATTGCTTCTGGGTCCTTTACTTCATCACCATTTACAAGAAGAGATGATATCTATTCAGTCAGATGTAATTTTCCTGTTACATGTTTTATTATATTCCAGGTTGCTTTTACCTGATTATCTGATTTTGCTATAAGCCTACACTAATGTTGCCTTTTATAACTCTGCTCAGAAATTCGCAGTACTTGATCCAATATGCCCTCATGCATGGATTATTACTGCTCCTGCTATATCTATATAAAAGTAAAAAAAAAATAAAGGTATCCCTGTAACAGGTCGTGGAGTCCATAGGGTTGTTAGATGTTGAGGTTCCCACATTTTCTAGACAATCGGTTCACAGATGGTGGCAAGGTTGTCAGCCTTATGTGCTGACCGCCCTTTACTCCCAAGAATATTCCTGGTACTCATTTCTGTTAGAGGCTGAGTTGACCCCAGGGCCATAGTGCGAATGGAAGGATTAGGTAAACTGAAAAAATCCACCTCATTTGGATTTGATCCTGTGACCTTCCGCCTTGTAGCATAGTGCCTCAACCAACTACACTACCACGTGCCCCATATATATAGAAAGAGAGAGAGACTCCTGCAAGATACCTTTATTCCTCTGCATAATCTAGTCATATTTTATTCTACCTACACTTTTATTCTAAATAGGAAAACTACCTTCAAAGACATTTAGAAAAATATATAAAAAAAAGATTTAGATTTACAGTTTGTACATTATTTTTGAGAACTGGATCCCATGTTTCATTTTCTAACAGATGCTGAAATTGTGCAATAGATTCATTTTTTATTTTTTTGGTTCTCTGTTTCAAAAGAATTAAATTTACTTTCTCAGTAATATTATTTGCTGTAAAGAATCAGTGAAATCAGTTGCAATCTATATTCCCTACAGAACGGACAAAATAATTGTAAGATGAGGCACTGGCCAAACAATTAATGTCAAATAATATTACATCTATACCATGGGCCTCAAAGCAGCTTATTACATGTATATAAGTCTAGAATATACCATTATGTCCGCGGGAATATAACAAATTGCAGCAACTGACTTGATGATATGGAATATCATATGAAGAGTTTTTAACCTTATTTTATGCCATAACTTCTGTTCTTATAATAAGTTTATAGTTCATTGTATTTTATAATGTAATAATTATCTAGTATCCAGCTTCACCATTGCAACTGCAGTTCAGCAGTGTGTGTACGAAATGGTAATCATGTGTTTGCCTGATGATGGCTTTAATAGCCGAATGTAGCTAAGCTAATTTTAGCCTTGACCATTGCATTGTTGTCTTGTGACGGACTCTAATAAAGAATTGTATATCATTATCAATAACATATGTTTACCTGCAAATCCTGATCATGATATGTATGAATTAGTTCGCTCATATAAAAAAGCAGATATCTACAGACAGCTAGAGTGTCCAACAGGAGACAACAGATCCCACTGTTTTTTTGTCAGTTTATATGGAACAACTGTACGGGGCTGAAACATGGACACTTAGGGCAGTAGATCAGAAACATCAGGAAAGTTTTGAAATGTGGTGTTGGAGAAGGAAGAAGATCAGTTGGACCGATTATGTGAGAAATGAAGAAGTGTTAATTAGAGTCAGTGAGCAGAGGAATATCCTACATGAAATAAGAAAACGGAAGGCTAATTGGATTGGTCATGTTTACGCAAAAACTGCTTTCTAAAAGAAGTTATTGAAGGAAAGATAGAGGGGCGGGTAGACGTGACAATAAGACGAGGAAGAAGACGTAAGAAGATGCTGGATGACCTTGGGGACAGAAGAGGATACTGTCATTTGAAGGAGAAAGCTCTAGATCGCATTAAGTGGAGGAACTGTTTTGGAAGAGACTGTGGACCTGTCGTGTGACAGATTACTGATGATGATGATGATATGGAGCAACACGAAACACTGGTAGAACTGCAAAAGTATGAGGTAGGGGTGAAAACAAGTAGACTGGGCCTCTCATACTTATGCACAATATTGCATTAAAGCATTCTGCAGATTTTAAAGACGATTAATGAATTACATGAACAATATGACTGAAAGTTACAAAGAAAAGGGAATAAATCATTCACATAACTTCCATGGTCTACAGATTATTTTATGTTTCCAACATATTTCTGCATTTAAGTCAGTAATATGGAAAAGGGAGAATGTTTAATGGCTATTAGGCAGACATGTTTCCTTTTCCAACTAGCTGATTCATTTATTTTAAAAGTATAAGAGACCAATTATGATAGTAATCCTATTTTTTTAGAATCTTTCAAATGTAGAATGACAATGCAGACATTTCTTTTTGGTTATTTTATGACACTATGGTATCTACACTATATAGGATTGAATGTGGATATTATCAACAGGAGAGGGTCAAAGAATACTCATACACTGTGGGAAGTATCTGATGACAGTCATGGTTTGAAGACCTGAACAATATAATTTTTACTTCCGAGGAACATTCAGAAAGAATTAATTTAAATGCATAAAACTACTGTCCCTACATCTGCTTACAGCAACTACAGAAAACCACAAAACATTCATTCAGGACATGAGACTTAAGGTTCCCATGGTGATATAAACTTTATGGTCTTCTGGGATACAGTGTAGTGTAGCTTGGTAGTCATCCACCCTGAAGATTTAGGCAGCAGTTTCCTCCAAAATGTTGATACCCATCTATGAAATTACATAATGTCACATTCCAGAAGATTCTAATCTTGTCTACCACAGTTCAGTGTGTTGACTTATATACATGCAGCTAATCAGTTCACTTGTTGACAATATTACATAAGGACCTGGCTACTCAAGGTGCTCCTTGAATACTGAACAACTTATAAAGCAGGAAATCAATGTGGAATATCACACTGAAAGTGAATATCAATGTCAAAAATAATAATGAAATGAAATCAATTAGGAATATCACATGGAAACAGTAAATCAATGTGGAATATCGCACTACAAGCAGAATTTAGCCCACTATATAATGTTGCAACAGTCAGGGAGAATATTAGTTGTAAAATTATCTAAAATATCTGACTCCAGTTGCCCATAAATAGATGTAAGGTCATCTTATAATTAAACAATACTCTTATAAATTCTAAAATAATC